AGCTAAGGCCGCAGTGACATCTATACTACTGCTGCGGATGTATTTGAGGACAGCCCAGTGCAGGGCACAGGGCGTGAAAGAATCTCTTCAGGACTGCACATGCGTGAGGGATAAACCCAATAGCGACAGCTCTTAGAGGGCGAAGCCTATACGAAATAGAACTTGGGAAGTCTCTGGTGCTGATGGAAGCTTTTATTACTCCTAAGAGCATTTTTTTGCATTATCTTTCCTGAGAATCACTAGTGGTGTTGTGTACGCCACCCTGATGTGGATGGGAATAAGTCTGTTAATTATTTCCAAGGAATTTCTCTGTAATCCTCTCTCTGCTTCATTCATATTTACTACAATATTTTAAAACTAAGACTGCTCAAAGTTTGACATCCCTGTCTCTCATCCTTTCCTGTCCTTTACTTCTACCAGGGCGCAGGAGTCACAGTTTTAAGGTTCACTAGCGTGATTAATGTCTTTGCAGTAGGCGACATGCAATTTTCAGAGAAAGTCTGTGACTGGTTTCTGTTACTTTGAAGAGTGTACTTTGAACGGAGACAACATTCATGCCCTGAAGAAGCATCTCATATTGTATGATATCACACACATGATCATCCACCTCAGGTCAGCAGCGCACAGAATTGATGGACAGTCGGCTGTGTACAGACTGTGCGGTGGTCTGACTGACTTTACCTACTACTATAATTAATACTAGTATTTTTTGTACATTTTATTTGAACCCATTTTTGTTTTTTGACAGTTATGGGCAGTGCAACATTATCAGCTACCATGTGAATAAGAAGAGTACCAGCAACATATATATAAAACATATAACTATATATAATTTTAAGGAATCATGATTTATATGTCGATCATATATAAAATTGTGGTGTCAGATCTGTCCAATCAGCTGAGAAATGGACTAGAGACTCAATTGTCTGTCTTTGTTTTATTAATTCAGCTGAATGGTCATCACCAAAGTGTACAGTGTATGACAAAGAGTAAAAGATACATTCTTTATAGACACAGCAAACAGGATGTGGAAGAAAAGGCACAAGGATGTGGAGACAAACCTGCATGGCAAAATTCACCAACTAATTACCTTTAACAAGAATTTTGCTGGCATTCGTCTCTACAAATATAACATATATCAAAACACAATCTCAATATTAAAGTTAACAATTTCTGAATTTATACATTTATACACTATACGCTATATAAAAGTCACAAAACATGTATCTTATACACTGGCCCAAGCCTCTAAATTCAAATGGAGGGAAGATGTAAATGTATAATGTTAGACAAGCAGCTCAATAAATAATTGCCTTACCAGATGTATGTGGAAGAACTTGAATGGTCTGCACAGGACCCCCCCAACACCATGTGGACAGGTAGAGACTGGGGCAGAATGTTAATTTTATAAAATTCAATAATGCTGTATTACATTAAATGTAATAAATATAATTTTTGTAGTCTGTGGTCCTCAGTTCCTACACTGCAAATGATGGTTGTTTGATTTTATTTAAAACACCAAACTTTAAGTTTTTCAATTACTTCTATGATTAAACTTAAATCCATAATACAATACCCTATAGTAATACTGTATTAGGAAATACTAAATCTAAATTTATACTATAGTAAAAGAAAACTAAACAATATTTTAAAGAAATAATAAGAAAGGAAAGACACAAGTTCATTAGCGTTTATGTTGCATCGCTGCTCACTAAGGAAAGTGGTAAAAATAGGGAATAAATGCGCGCACACACACACACACACACACACACACACAAACATATTGTACTGATCCTGTGATCAGGTTGTTAGTAAAATGCTACAGTAATACTGTAGAAGTTTTGAGGACTTAGCAGAAAATATTAAATAAACTGAATACTTTATTACATTAATACTTTTGTAAAGCTTTATTTTGGAAAACACTTTGGTTTAAGTAGTTAAATGAGTTAGTTATTGGTAGGCTAATTTTATATTTCATAGGCCTGATTTAAAACATTTTTTGTATGTGTAGATTGTGGATTTAAAAGTGCACCTTAGTAGTTATTTATTGAATATTTAAATTGGTGGAGTAGTAATAGGCCTTTTAAGAGCAAAGTAATGAGAGAGAGATTGATTTTCTGTTGTCCTACAGTTATGACTGACATTGAAGTAATCATGTGAAATAAGGATAATAATCACCTTTATTTGGCCAAGTATGTTACGCACACAAGGAATTTGTTTCCGGTACAGAACTGAGGCAGCCATTTGTGGCGCCAACTCACATCGATGGCTCTAACCATCGGGGGCAACGTGGGGGTTCAGCATCTTGTCCAAGGACACTTCAACACGTGGATTGCAAGCACCATGATTCGAACCTCCAACCTTGCGGTTGGGAGACAACTCCTCTGCCCACTGAACCACAGTCACCCCCGGTATGGAAGAAGTTGTTATGCTTTCACCCATGATCTAAAGTAGTGATAAAGTTTAGCTGCTGACTGATACTGGGACAACATACATCATCCTAGTATTACAGTGGCAGCGGGTTTGTGGGCTGTTTGTGTGAGTTCTGTCGAGGAACTAAGGAGCTTCTTCTACTACACACTTTCCCATTCAATTAAATGGGAAAGTGTGTCCAGACTTTTGACTGGTAGTGTAAACGGATATGCAGTTACAGTGAGTGTGGGCAGGTTTGTGGAAAGTGAACATTAGTCTGTAGTTGAATGGGCCGCTGCATCTAGTCCCCATGTTCCCCTGCCTCTGAACAGCCAGAATAACTTAATCACTTACTGCAGAAGACATTTACTATGTTTCACTGACTCTTGTCTTAAATTCATTTCTTTCTCAACCTCAGTTTTGAATGCATCCCTTCTCTGCTGCTCTTCTGCCTTCAGCTCTTTTGAAAGCCTGCATTTCTCTTTCTCTGAGGCCTTTTTTGCTTTTCTGAACATTTTTAAGGTGTAGTGCCCTCCACCATTCTGCACAATTATTGTGCTAATTTTCTCCAGGAGCTGCTCAGTCTGCTCCTGATCTTTCACCAGGTTGTTGAAGACGTGATATCGCCCGTAGCAAACCTCAATCAGCTCTTGGAGCTCTTCACTCTTGGAAACAAAGTTTTCAATAGTTTGTTTCTTCAGTTTGTCACCATGTGTAAACAACACCAATGAGTATTTAGCTGCCTCCTTTCCAAATGTACTTTGAATCATCTTGACAGTGTCTCTCTCCTCTTTTGTGAACCTGCCCAACTGAAGAACCACCAGCAAGACATGGGGACCAGGAGCAGACAGAGACATACATGTCTTGATCTTCTTCAGTATTTCTTCTTGGGTGAAATTAGTGTCAAACAGCCCCGGAGTGTCAATGACGGCAATGTTTCGACCCTGAACCACTCCGTCAACTCTCTTACATTGAAATGTCCAAGAAGAAGAAGACAGGTTAGAATCAAATGCTTCTCTTCCCAAGATGGTGTTTCCTGCTGCGCTCTTCCCTGCTCCCGTCTTCCCCACCAAAATAATCCGGAGTTCATCACTCTTCTTCTGCTTTCGAGATCCTGTAGAGATAAAACAGCAACATTTTGTATTGAACTTCAATGCAGGTTTGTGCTGAACATGTTTATTGATCAAAAATCAATAATTTTTTGTATTTCCCAGGATGTCAAGCAGCAAACATTTAAACTGATTTCTTATAGATATGTACAGTAGTTATTTAAGTGATGGCACCTCAATGTAACAAGTTACTTATTATCAACATCATCATTGTTGTATTTATTTATGCATTAGAATGGAAATGTACATCTTACATTAAATATATGTTTTTAATCATTTTTGAACAACTACAGTCTCTGGCACAGATGAATTTGCTTTTCTTGTCCTACAAATACTACAAACCATGAAGTGATTGAGTTTACTACCATATAGGATAGAAGAATAGCAGAAAATCATCATATTTAAAAGCTGGTCCCATAAATATTACATTTTTTATGTTTAAGTCATTTTGCAGTAAAAATTATTTAAACTACTAAAACGTAGTTATAGAAGTAGTTCCATTTGACTAATTGTTTCTGCTCTAATGAGCTACATAACACTATACATGGCATTATAGTTTTTAAGCCTTGTATTCACCTCTAAGTAAACAGTAACTATAGCTGCCATGCAAATATAATAGAGTCAAAAGTATATTTCTCTCTGAGTAGTTGCATGAAATAGAAGGTATCTCTACTCTGTACTTAAATGCAATACTTGAGTAAATATACTTGGAACAAAGTTCAACAAATAAGAACTTTTAGGTTTTGATCTGCCACAATCCAGAATCTATTTGTATTATATTTGGTGACAATCTTAAAGACTAAAGCTGATGGTATTCTATACTGTTATATTATATTACTGTCCATAAATCTCATATTGCATAATCAAACCAACAATGAATTCATCTCCTAATAAGGATTACATGTATATCCAAAGTCATATATCTTCTACCTCTATGCTGTGGAGCTCCACTCTTGTCTAAAAACTATTAAAAACATATCAATGAGCTGCACTGTTGCACTGGCTGACATGTTCCTTCATTACCGTGAATTTTAGTTTATGTTGACTCAATGCCACATAGTCTGTCCTGCTGCTGCAAATACTCTCTAGACCACAGAATGTGGACTAAATCACTGCTGAAAATAGTCACCAACAAATGCACAATTTCTTCTTTTTAGGCTGACATTTGACTGTAGCCACCAGGTTGTAGTAAAATACGGAGCCTTTTCCTAAAATGAAAAGCTGTTTATATAGATTTAAGTCTTCAGGCACACCCAATGGACTGACAGCCACAGAGTAGAGAAGTCAGGAAGTGTTGAGGCTAACTGCTGATTTGAGAATTTGAAGATGAGAGTAAATATCCTTTGATGCAGTGTGGTCTGTTGCAGCACAAAAATGAACATTTTCTTTTATCCTGCTTACACTAGCTGATTTTACCCTCGTCTGTCTGTTTTCTGATTTACTAACTTCTGTCACTCCAAATCCTGCCACTCCCATCTGCCCTGCATTAACCCCAGCCTTCCCCTCCTTCCCAGTTACCAGATTTCCATGCCCTCCTGTTCACCTGTCACCTGTTTCCTTCATTAGTCTAATAATACTGTTGGTGTTTCATTCATTCGAGCCATTCTCATTTCCAGGGCATCGAATGCTGACATTTTGTCAGGTACCTTTGATGTCTGTATGTGACATGTAGGGTTTCCTTCTTTGTTGCACAGAGATGCTAAAGTACACCCTTGGCATTTTCAAGTATATAAATAGAGAAACCTTTTAATCAGTGAGTGTTTTAACCAAACCCCCTAAACCTAACCATGACATTTTAGTTGCAAAATGTAGTTTTTCTGTATAAATCCAACATGTTTACTGATGAAGTACCTTTGGTGTCTCCAACGGACACAGGTAGGTTAACACTGTTTTCTACTGAAAACCATGTGTGTCTCCCACTGACTCCAAAGGTACCCTTCAGCATCAGTACGTCACACTGTATCTGATGCCCTAAGATGAGAATGGATTGTTCATTCCCAGTTGGACTGTCTACATTTCAGTCTACCTTTTGTAGTGAACCATGACAGTTTCTCCTATTTCATAGAAATGAGATAGAAACAATTCAAATAAATGAATGTACAGAATCCACAAATACAGTTTAGCATAATTTATTATCATTCACTAACAAGTAGTCATGGGCAGCACATTAATGATTTCATATTATGTTATACAAATATTATACACTCATGAAACTATTAAAGATGCAGTATAATACAAGCTGATTAGCTCTACCTATTTCTGGTACAAATAATTTCAGTTACATACAAAATGTGATCATGAGAATCAATTATTTGCATAGATCTTATTAAGAAGCAGTTACAGATTACTTGGATTTCTTTCTGTCCTCACTGCACATGACACCTGTCTGAGATTTTCAGCGATAAAGCACCAATGCCAGCTCCAACAGCTGCTCCAGCTGCGATTCCAATTGCCATACCAATTGGACCTCCAACCACTCCAAGCAGACCTCCAACAGCAGCACCACAGGCTGTTGAGATAGCTATTACTGGAGCAACGATGAAGTCGTTTGATCTTTCAGCTCGAGCTCTGGCTGCATACTCGTATCTTACATGCACCTGTTTCTCCTTCTGGCTGTAGGCCTTGCCTGCATACCTGGCTCTCAGTGCATCTAGCTCTCTTTGCTTCTCTGCTTCCATCTCCTTTAGGAGCCGTTGTTTCTCCTTATTTATGGCTTCCTCTGCTTTCATGAACATTTCGTTTGTGTAGTAACTCCCACCATTAGCCATGGTCATCTTGTCAATTTTTTTCAGGAGCTGATGGGTTTGTTCAGGGTCTTTGATTTCATTGTTGAAGACATGGTATTGACCATAGCAGTTTTGAATGAATGCTGTCAGGTCAGCATTCTCTGAAATATAACCCTCAATGGTCTGCTTCCTCAGCTGGTCTCCATGAGTGAACAACACCATTGTGTAATTAGCTGCAGCTTCACCAAAAGTGGTCTGAATCATCTTGACTGTTTCCTTCTCCTCCTCGGTGAACCTGCCCAACTGAAGAACTACCAGGAAGACGTGGGGACCAGGAGCGGACAGAGAGATGCACATCTTGATCCGCTTCAACACTTCTTCTTGGGTGAAATTAGTGTCAAACAGTCCTGGAGTGTCAATGATAGCAACCTTTCGATCTCCAACAACCCCTTTGGCTTTGTGGCATTCTGATGTCAAGGAAGACGGAGACAGTTCCGATTCAAATGCTTCTCTCCCCAGGATGGTGTTTCCTGCTGCACTCTTCCCCACACCTGTCTTCCCAACTAGAATGATCCTCCTTTCATCTGTGTCCCATGTGAACCCTGTCAGACAGAAATACACCATTCATCATATAAGTGCATTGTCAGAGGCTGCACAAGCACATGGCCCATCACAGGAGAGCCAACCCCAGTGGACCAGAGTCAGCAGTCCACCTCCACCCGAAGGACAAAGGGCATTCTTTTGAGGACAGTGAAGTCCAGATCCTCTCCAGAGAACACCACTGGTTTGAGAGAGGAGTCAAGGAAGCTATTTTTGTCCAAATAGAACACCCCTCTCTAAGTAGGGGTGGTGGACTAAGACACAACTTGTCATCCATCAACAACTCTGTGTTGAAATCTCTACCCAAACATTTCCACCCTAATTCACACCAGGACAACAGGTGTCAGTCCACATGTCAGGGTTCAAAGACAGGTAACGACTCTCACCGATACCAGACCCAAGTAACCCAGTCATTAGAGGACATTGTTGAGTCTGAAAACTCAGATGAATGTTTTATTTTCTTAAATGTCTATCTACTTTTTCTGGCAGGAACAAATCTCCATAATTATGTCTGTGTCCTGTGGTAGATCATAATAATGAACAGGACAGTGATAATGTTGAAGACTAAAAAGACTGTCCTGACTGCTGGAGACATCTTGTTGCCATAACATGATAATATTCGTCCTAATATTAGCAACTACACAAGTACTTAGACCGATCATCATTATTAATGAAGAGTTCATTGTTCTTTATTAATAATGTTTTTCTTAAATAATGTGTCAATAGAACACAGTCACCATTAATGGTAGTACTAACATCTTTTCCCTACCGTGACAAGTCAAAATGTTGGCTGTGAAAAGGTTATAAAAGTTTTGAATAGTAATTACCTGGAAGTAATTAGTATGTGTTTGAGCTCGTCTGTCCTGTTTTTCATGCTCAGCAGCTAAACTACTATTAATGAGCTGCAAAGAAGTACAAAGTAAAAACCCACCGTTTTTATTCAATATTACTGTAACTCTAAGCTTGTTTTTCAATATTACATATGATATGTGATAATATATATTATATATTATCACATATCATATGTACATATGACCAACGATTGTTCCCCCTTCCAAGATGAGCCCAGTCACCTGCCTGAACGACTACAGGCCAGTGGCACTCACTCCAATCATCATGAAGTGTTTTGAGAGAGTGGTCCTGGCCCACAGTCAGAGCAGTATACCGGGCACCCTGGACCCCCTGCAGTATGCCTACCGGCCCAACAGGGCCACCTCAGATGCCATCGCGGCTGCCCTCCACTATTCCCTTTCTCACCTGGAAAATGGAGATTCCTACATCAGGATACTCTTTGTTGACTACAGCTCCGCCTTCAACACAGTTGTCCCCCACAAACTCACCCATAAACTGTCCACACTGAGTCTGCACCCCACCCTCTGTGACTGGCTCCTGGACTTTCTGACTGGCAGGCCCCAGACTGTCAGGATTGGCAATAGGACTTCAGCCAGCATTGTTACAAACACTGGCACCCCACAG